GTTGAATAAACTGAGCACTGCGCGTTTCAAAATGAAAATGCAGCGCTGGTGTTTTTATATGAATGTATCTTTGAAAAGAACCGACCGTCTGCAGAAAAGCTTCGATGTCATTTTCATTTCGTCTTTCCTGTAATGCCTGATAAAGTAGCATTTGTGAGCTCAGTGTTTATTTGATTACAGCCGTTACCGGGGAAACCGTTATATATCTCTGCTCCAACAGCACCTCCTGCTGGCAGAGAATTAATTAGCAGTCTGTGGGAAACACTGGTGTCTGTCAGCAAACATAAACAAAAAGCATGCTTCAGAACTGTTTTGAGAAGGTGCTTAAGTTTTGAGCGATGTATTACTACTCTGAATTAGGCTACTACTACTATTACTATCTTGTACCCTGCAATAATAATTTACTCAAACTGACTTTTTATGAGATGAAGGGGGGGGGGGGAATTGGCATCATATATCGGCCATCGGCTGCCCTGATTTCTAAATAACCGCATCGGCCAGTGAAAAACCCATATCGGTCAATCTCTACTTATAATAGACTTGTTTAATTACTGGATGAATCAGCGTTTTTGAACAAATCTCTTGAATGAATGATTCAATGACAAATAAAAAAAATTTTTTTACAGTCAGTCAATTTTTTGCTGACACAAATTTGAAGCGCCAGTTACTTGCAAAAGCAGATTTGATCTTTTGAATTTTCATCTCTGTATTTTTGTGATATGAATGAATGCAAGAAATAATACTGTGTAGTTGAAAAGGGAAGCTGTTTCTTACCTAAACGTAGTAAATATCTGCTCTCTTGTGTCAACGGCAGCGTGAACACCGATTTAAATGTTCCGGTATGATTTTTTTTCAAAACAGACACATTGAATCGTTGTCATTTAAAAATGGGATCGCATGGGTGTTTGAATTGAGACAGTGATCTTTTAACGATTAATCGTGCAGCTCTATTATATCCCATATCACATGTACTCCTTTTTTTTTTCTTTTTTTTTTTTCCTGCAGGCCTCTGCTGATGATGCCGCTGGGGATCACCACTTCCGTAAACCAGCTAATGACATTACATCTCAGCTGGAGATTAACTTTGGGGACCTGGGCCGCACAGGACGTGGTCGTGGAGGACCACGAGGTGGCAGAGGAGGCCGTGGAGCTGTTGCTGCTACCAGGCCACCTCGCGAACGCAGGCCAGACAAGGTGCAGTTTCTTTGTGCATTTCCTCTGCAGGTGTGCATATATATATATATGTATGTATGTATGTGTGTGTGTGTGTGTGTGTGTGTGTGTGTGTGTATGTTCAATTATGATTCATTGTTAACACTTGGCTGACTGGTATATTATTGTTGAAAAGTTTGGGGTCAGTAAAAAAATGTAAAATTAATAATTCTATTCAGCAAGGATGCCTTAAATTGATCAAAATTGACTGAAGAAATTTGAATTTGTTGAAAAATAATAGAGATTTCAAAAATCTATATAAAAAGATATTTCAAATAAATGTTTTTTTTTTTTTTTTTACATTTTAGTCATCAAAAAAATGCTGAAAACCATGCATCACAGTTTTCAGAAATAAAGATATTAAGCAACACAGCAGTTTTCTACACGGATAATAGGAAATGTTTCTTCAAGGACTAAATCGGCATGCAAGAATGATTGAAGGATCCTGATGCTAAAAACTGGAATGACTGCTGAAAATGTGACCTCACAGGAATAAAATACATTTTAAAAAATATTTTACAAAATTGTAATTAATATTTCACAATATTACTGATTTTACTTTGTTCCTTAATCAAATAAATGCAGCATTTGTGAGCAAATCAAGACTTGTTCAAAAACATAAAAAAAAAATGAAGTACATGAGTAGTTTTGCTAGATAATCTCAAAGATGAACAATAACTCCTAAAGTTTTAGTCATGTGACTCCAATAGGCTGTTTTTCTTGTATCTGCTTCTTTTAGGCCGGTGGAGTGTCTGTCCCTAACGTGGATGACCCAGAGGCTTTCCCAGCCCTGGCTTAAGCTGCCAGACGGCACGCTCTGCTCACCCAGGAGGATCACTCCTCCACGGGTCCTTGTCTACGAGGCTTGCATGCTAATGGATCCTTCAGCAGATGAAATGATGGAAGACTGTCATCCATGCCATTCACCCCCGAGGACTGATTTTACCTGAAGCAAATTATTGGTCGAGGTTTTGTATTTAGAAATAAGGTAGCAGGGATGTTTTCATACAGTGTTTCTTTTTTTTTTCTCAGAAATTATGCATTGTTCATGGATACTTTTTGTACTGCTGCTTGAAAATATGCATTTCCAAAAATTGGTGTGAAGAGCACACCGGTTTATCTTAAGGTGTCCGGTAGCTTGCTTTTTACACGGAAAAGCCTCATAACAAGACATCCATTTCAGGTGCAAGATCTACAAGTTAGTCATTTAATTTGTAAAGGTTACTGCATTTCTAAGGGAAATTACAGAGCATTTTGGTTCTGCTCATTGTTGAATTAAACACCTCGTTTCCCTGAAACACAATCTGAAATCATTTCGATTAAATGTACAATTTATGATTCATAACTTAATGCCAAGAGGTAGTTCCGATGATTCAGTTGCACTCGCCACAAAAAGTGTCTTTTATCGAATGACCACTGTAAAGTTCAAAATGGTGTCTTTATGCCATTGGTTCTGGTAACTCAGGGTAGTATCATTCGTTACGCAAAGTTCCAGTGTAAATACAAGAAGCAAGTTTACACACCACTCCTGTTTACTAAAAATTTGAGCCAGGTTATGGATAAATCCTGTTAGAAATGACATTTTCTTTCTGCCCCATTGCTTTTACAACAGTTTCCTTCATAACTGGTCTGAAAGAAACCATCCTGTTCAGTGTGGAACAGCTGAGTGATGTGTGAATTCCTACCCTGCTATTAGACCTCTGTCAATAATTAAAAGATAGTCGATTCATACAGAGTTGTTGTGTGGACTTTAACTTCAAAGATGAAACCGCTTCAAACTTGCTCTTATCTGATGCTGGTTAGTTACATTTTATTTAAAATCTTTTGAATCCCCCCCAAAAAATCCAATAGTGATACTGGTCCTGTCAGTAGCTGAAAATTGTCTCATGATATGGTGTAGTATTGGTAAAAATGGTGTCAGAGATAGAGTTTGGCTTAGAAATAATAAGGTCCCAGTTGTAAACACTTAATGCATTAGCCAACATGAGCCTTTTTTTTTTTTTGCAGCATGTTTAAAATCTTGGTTAAAGTTAGTTGACAAAATGCAGTTCAACGTTCTTTTATGTTAGTGCATGATGCATTAGTGTTGACAGATTCAAGTTTTGATTTTAAAAAAATTTACATTTTGAAATTAAAATTCATGTGCTGTAGAAATACTTATTGTATTCAGGTTAACGAGTGGGAACTTATTGTAAAGGTGGTGGTTAATTTGCGTTTACAGTGGACTTACACTTGCACTTACAAGTCCATATTTTGCAAAAGCATTTGGCAGCTCGCATTTCCTTCAGAAAATGTTGAAATCTAGTTTATTATTGAGGTTTAGTTTGTGAAATACGCATGAACAGCTATTTGTGACTGACTGGTAAAATGGCTATAGGCCAAAATCATGTTGCCCTCTCTCCACAGCCCCATTTACCATTTCATTTTAAAGTTGTAGTGACAGTAAACCACACAAATATCCAAAAAAATAACATTTATTTTTTTTCTTGATGCTTTGACTTTAAAGGTTTACTTGCCAATAAAAACTTTACATTAGGACAGTATTCAGCTGAGCTGATGAAAAACTAATGTGCTGATGGCATGTATTTGTGTCAAACATCTTGCATTAGAGTAGATACGAGTACCGAGTTTGCCTTGATATTGAAACTTGTGCAATTTTTTCTTGATTGATGTATTGTGAAAGAGTTGAAAAGTTACCGTTTTAAAGTTAGTGTTGGACAGCTGCTGAGTGTTTTAGTGGAAAGATGGAATTTGTAGAATATGGCCTAAAACCTTTACAATTTACATTCGTTAAGTATCCAGCACTCTTGATGGGCTGTTAACAGTCTGTTAGATCAGCTGTATTTCAGAGATAAGTAGCTGAGGCAGGCTTTTTTTTTTTTTTTTTTTTTTTTTGACCTTATATTTTTTTTATTAAAATATAATTTGATCTTCTGGTGAAGCATCAGACTTCTCCAAACATTTGGTCCGCTTAAACCAACCGCTTCCTTAAAATCAACTGCAAGCTTGCATTCAGATCTGCTTCCATCCAATCAACAACAGACAGATAGAAGCAAGCCCCTGTCATACATTGTGTCCATTTCACTTGGATGTTCATCACAATATGCAAAAAGAAAATATTTCGTTATTTGCATTACATTGTGACTTTAAAATGTCCAACATTAGCTTGAGATGCAGGTATAGCTGGGTTTCAGAGCAAGGAGAAAAAGTTTGCCCTTCTGACTGACTATTCTTGGAATGTCCATTGTTATTTTTCAGCATCTGTAGTATAGTCACTGTCAGGTCCAATTTTAATGCCTCTTGAGAATCATGTGCAATCCAGAAACTCGCTGCAGTCTATTTTCACTGCATCCAGCGTCAGCTTCCCTCCAGTTAAAACCAGGGGCTCCAGGAAAGGGATGTGTGTGCTTGGGAAGAATTCAAATTCGTCCAAACCTGTCTCTTCTTCATCTTCCTCTTCTCCTCCACTTATTGCGCCATGAGTGGAGATGTAGTCCTCCGTCATGTCTGTGATCCTGGTGATCTGGGTGGCATCAGAGGAGCTGGACTCCTGAGAGAAACTTTTGATGTAGGTGCAGATGGAGGGATACGGAACTTCCTCCACCTCCACGTTATCAGGCTCCTCATTCACACTGGAGTAACATTGGTCTAGGTAGAATTTGATTTCACTCTGTGTGGGAAGGGGAACAGGTGTGTATTGGTTAATGAATTACATTTACAGTTCATATTTACACCATTTTGGCCAACAAATCCAATTCCATTTTAAACCAAATTACAATACTCCAGTAGGTTTGGGGAAATGTGTTTAATGTGTGGAACACAAAATGTGTTTTTGTTGCTGCTTCTTTTTTATATGTAAACATACAGTAGAGTGACATTTTTGACCACTGCACCATGTGAAGTTTTTTTTTTTTTTTTTTTAGCATTAGTAGCAT